CACCTCTTTTCTCCTCAGGCCCTGATTCGACCCCTGCAGGCTCTTCCCTCCCCAGGCCCCGTTCAGATTCCAAATGCCTGGAAACAGCCACTTCTCTATTTCATCTCTGTCAAAGTGCTCAGGGTGGGGAGGAAAATTCAAAGAAATCCAAGCTCTCAGCAACTGGGTCCTGCCGGCCCCCTGGCATCAGATGGGGCTCCACTCACTCTCGAACTGGTCTCTGCACCCAGACCTGAGTGGTCACCTTCACCATGTTATTCAGTCGGGAGAAGGTCGCTGTGGGACACACCCACCACCTCCGTGGAAGACCTGGGCAGTCCCCCAGGGCCTGGCCGGCATGTCACACGGAGCTGAGCTTCACCAGGCCTCGCACCGAGTCCTCGTGCAGGGTGTCCTGGCTGGCCAGGCCCAGGACGTGCATGGTGCGGCTGTGGGCCAGGGGGCTGCCTGCCGCCAGCAGCCTGGGGGGTGAGGGCGCCTCATCCGGGGTCAGGAACTGGTGGCCCACGTGCTCGTCCTTCAGGGGCATTATGTCTGTGAGTGTGGCCTCGGTGGCGAGGTTGGGCAGGGAGGAGGGCGGCGTGGGCTGGCCCAGCGTCAGGCTGGCACAGGGCGTGCCCAGGCCCGGCTTCCCGGGCAGGTGCAGCTCGTCGCTGGTGAGGCTGGGCTCGCTCTGCAGCAGGGGCGTGGCTGCGGCCTGCAAAACGAATTTGGTGCTCTGAATGCACTGGTCTTGGTCGCACTGGAGAGCAGGAGGAGCCAGCAGAGAGAAGGCGGAGAGGAGGTGGGCAGGGGTGGGGAGGTGGGGGAGGGTGGGATGTGAGAAGAGAGAAACCGTTAGTGACACCCGGGTCAGACAGAGGCAGGAGCATGCACAGTAGCCCAGACGCAAGCAGAGAGACCCCAGCACATGGCAAAGTGCCAACACCTGGCACCTAAATAACCTGTGCAAAGAAATAGTCACCCACAGGTGCCCAGTCGACCTTCAGGCTAGGATGCCCGATTTAAAGGAGGAAATTTGAAAACAACCCCATGGACAGTGTCATGGGCTTTTTATCACCTACAGTGATCTGAGGTGCCTGTTTCTTGTATGCTAAGAGCCCTTTTTTTTAACCATATGGTTTTAAAAATACATGGGCTTGCACACCCATGTTCATAGCAGCATTGTTCATAAAAAGCCAAAAGGTGGAAGCATCCCACATGTCCACCGACAGATGACTGGATAAACAAAATCAGGTGTTTACACGCAATGGAACATTACTCAGCCTTAAAAAGGAAAGAAATTCTGACACATGATACCATATGGGTGAACCTTGAGGACATCATGCTAAGTAGAACAAGCCAGTCACAAAAGGACGAAACGACGTGAGTCCACAGATGTGAGGTCCCACAGTAGTTAAGCTTCGTAAAGAGAAGGGGTGGTGGGGAGGGAATTAGGGAGTGTGTTTAACAGGTACAGAGTTTCAGTTTGAAAAGATGGAAACGTTCTGGAGACGGGTGGTGGTGATAGTCGCACA